CCCTCTAGACCTAACAGATATTCAAAATAACAAGACACCAATTCTCAAGTGCACGCGGAACCTTCTCTGAGTTGGAGCATGCATCAGTTCAGAAGACAAGACTCGGTACACTGAAAAGATCAAGACCATTCAAAGTGTGCTTCCTGATCATAAGGGAATGAAATTATGTAAGTCATTGACCAAAGGAAATGCACAGCAACAAAATGGGAAAATCACAAATATTTAGAAATTAAACAACACCTTAAATAACCAAGGAGCCAACCAAAAATCACAAGGGGAGAGATTAAAAAATACCTTGAAACAAGCTCATCCTAAAATTCATGTGGAAATGCAGGGGGACCCCCGTAGCCAAAACAATCTTGGAAAAGTAGGACTAGAGTCAGAGGACTCATACTTCCGGTTTTCAGAAATCACTGCAGAGCCACAATAATCAAAGCAGTGTGGTGCTGGCCCAAGGTAGACCGGACCCAATGGAACAGAACAGAGCCCAGAGACAAACTCACATCTGCGCTCAACAGATGTTTTTGACAACAGCGCTAAGACCATAAGACGAGCAAAGTGGAGTCTTATCCCATCTGGGTTTCTGTAACAAAACACTATAGACTGGGCAGCTCACTAACAGAAATTTATTTCTCATAGTTCCGGAAGCTGTGAAGTCCATGATCGAGGTGCCACCGATTCTGTGTCTGGGGAGGGCCTGCTCTCTGGTTGACAGATGGTGGCTTCTCCCCGTGTTCTTGGGGTGGAAGAGGCGAGGGATCTCTTTCAGATCCTTTTCATGAGGGATCAAATCTCATTTCTGAGGTGCTTCCCAAAGACATCTCCTGAGTTATCTGGGGGTTAGGACTGCAGCATGTGAGTCTGAGGGATGTGGACCTTGAGGCTGTAGCAGGTGCCCTGTGGCAGCCCTGGAAGGGTGGAAGTCCAGGCTCCCATCTGGACGTCCTGGTGCAGGTGGGGGGGCCGTGGTGTCCCTGTGGTGTCCCCGTGGTGTCCCCATGGCGTCTGAGCAGAGCGGGGGAGTGGCTGAACTTCCCTTCTAACTGAGCTGCCTGTCTCCTGGCCTAGGGCGGAGAGCAGGCTTTTCCTGGGGTCCCCCACCCCCTGCTCCTGTTGGTGTTTCCAGGGAGCCGGCTTCTTGGGCTCCGTGTCTGGCAGGTAAAAGGCAAAGAAAACTCAGGGACTCTGCACCGTGTCGTTCTGGGGTCCCAATTCCCTAGCCTGCCTGTCTGCCTTCTCTGCCCCTCTCAGAGTCTGTCTCATGTTTGTCTTCTCTTCCGTGTCCAGGGTTTAGGAAGAGTCAGGGAAGGTGTGTGTACTCCACGTTCCCAGAAACGAAGTCCTGGAGTTGCGTTTTCAAATTGAAAGCGTAAAATAATTTCATCGTATGTGAACAGCATTAGAAATTTAAGAGAATTTAAGTACCATTTGTTAGAAGAATTACTTAGTTTATGGTAAGGATTTTTTAAACTTTAGATCTGTAAAGTTGTTTACATTGATAACAAATATAGAGAGTTTTAAAATGAAACAGCTTTTCTTGTTGGTGGTATTCAGCAAAGACATGTCTCTAAGAAAAAGGAGAAAGAAAAAATAATTTTAAAAAAACCCAGTCCTGCTCACGGGAAGTTGGATCAGTGATAAGCAGAGTCCTGAAGCCCGTTTCCAGCAAGCGTCGGTTCCGTTAGGCTCTTTGGTTGCAAATAACAGAAACCAGCTCTTCAGCAAAAGAGACTGAAGGGCAGGAACCAGGATGGCTCCAGGTGTCTGTGGGGCAGGAGCTGAGGATCCCTCCAGGCCTGGCCATAGGTGGAAGCCTTTGTGTGTCCCAGTCCACGATTTGGTCCCTAGAGAGAGTTCTGACCTGCTGACTTGGGTCAAGCTTGGCTCATAGGCCTGTCCTTGTCCAGGATGGAGCACTTTGAATGACAGTCCTCATAAGACTGCCCATGGGGGGTGTCGGGGAGAAGTCCTCCACAGCAGAACTGGGGTGCTCTCACCAGAAGACAAGGAAGGTGATGATGATGTTAGGCCAGCGAGAATCCGAGGTGTCTACTACAGAGCCAGTGACCGGTGTGTCCCAGAGCTGAATAAGGCAGGGAGGCCTGAGTAAGACTCAGAGAAAGTCCTCTGAGCTTCGCCAAGGTGTGCCCGCGGGCTCCAGGCAGCCATGGGGACACAGCGTTGCCTGAGCTTGTTCAGCCACACCGTGGGTTCTGCCTTTGACCCTTATTAACACGGGACAGTGGGTCAGGTTGCAGAGAGGCCAACAAGAGCACCTGGAGATGGCGTGTGAGACGTATGATTTATTGGGGACAGCTTACAAGAGATCAGAGACTGCTCCAAGAGGGGTCCTGTGGTACCAGGCTGACAGCGCCTCCGTCCCTCAGTGCTCTGCCAAGCAGTGCCTCTGTCCCTCGTGCCTCCTGTTCAGTGGCAGCCAGCTGGAAGCGTGACATGCATCCTCTCCACGGTTCCCTCGGTTCTGCCCGGGTGGCCTCTGAGAGAGGACTTTCCTATGTGGAGCTGCAAAAGCAGTGACATCATCAACATTAACTTGCTTAGCTTGTCCGACCAGCATCTGGAGCAACTGTCCTGCTGTATGTGTAAGAAGGTAGCTTTCCACTGACCGCCCTGGCCCCCAGTGAGTGTAAGAGAAAGCCAGTGTGCTGCAAGGTCATATGTATCTTCTGGGAGCAATGGCACACCCCTGTAATCCCAGCCGCTCCGGAGGCTGTGGCAGGAAGATCACAAGTTCAAAGCCAGCTTCAGCAACTTATCGAGGCCCTAAGCAACCCAGCAAGACCCTGGGTCTAAGTCAAAAGGTCTGGGATGTAGCTCGGTGATTAAGTGCCCCTGGGTTCAATCCCCGGTACCCCCTCCAAAAAGGATATTCTGTACCTGGACCTTCCCGGACTATTTTTCGTTGTTCCCTTACTTGGCTAGATTTTGGGGAACCGAAAGGGGGCACTCAGGGGTGTGGTGTTTCACTGTCTCCTTTTCTTCAAGGATGATTCCCACAGTCTTGGGGAGCCCAGGTAGGGAAGCCCTGGCCTGGTAGGTCTCCCTTGACTCTTTAGCTCTGCGGCCGTCTGACTGCAGCAAGGACAGGTTTCTGCCCACAGTCAGCGGATCCTTCTGGCTGAACGTGAAGTCAGAACCAGCTTTGCCCTGGCCTGATGGGTCCTCTGGTTTCTGTTGGCCACCCACCCAGCTTGGGGCAGGGCTGGAGGAGCTCTTAGCTGTCATCTGGGCCAGATGGGGGACACATAAACTGACCCAGAGGAGGGACTTGTCCAGGGTGGCTGTGAAGTGGCAGCAGCTGGGACCAGCACCCCATTACCTGCTCCCAGCTCGGCCTCCTTCCCTGTGCTGCGCCCTGCGCCTGGCTGGGTAGAAGTTAAAGAGAGCTGTGCCTGGGGACCTAGGCAGACCCTCTGCCCCGTGCCGGCTGCCCCTCCCTGGAAGACCTCCTCAGCTGTCAGTACTGTGCGTTCCAGTGGGGGAAAGAGGGAGGGAGGGTGACTTCATCCCTCCCTGTTGACCTTTCCTGAGGAGGAGCCTCGGCCAGCTCCGGCCACGCTGGGGCGCCCGCTGATTCTGTCTCCAGGTAGACTGGACACTGCGCCAGAGCTGTGCTGATCCTGGGGCCAGGCCTTAGAGGTTGGGTAGGACTCCGGGGAAGGGAGAGACGGGGATGAGAGACAGGAGCAGAGGTGGGAAGGAAAGCAGCATCCAGGGAAGGGTGGATTACTATTTCGCCAAAATAAAGCATTTCTTTAGTGTTAGGGGTGGAGTACTTCTGCTGGGCATGTTGGGGACATAATAGGGTGTGGCTGAAATGCTAAGCTAAGTGCACCTTAAGAGCAATTGGGTTCCTAAGCACTTACCCTAAGGGGACTGGAGGTGTGGCTTCATGGTAAAGCTCTTGCCCAGCAGGACCTGGCCCTGAATGCACTCTCAGAACTGCAAAAAAGAAAGAAAGAATTTATCCTAAGGGCCTAATCTACACAGATGCACAAACTTTCATACTAGAATATTCAATCACAGCAAAATTTTTCTGAAGGAAATGGAACAAGGCATCCACCTATGATCCCAGCTACACGGGAGGCTGAGGAGGGAGGATCACCAGTTTGAGGCCAGCCTGGGCAACTTAGTGAGACCCTGTCTCAAAATAAAACATAAAAAGGGCTGGTGATTTGGCTCAGAGGTAGAATGCCCCTAGGGCTCAGTCCCCAGTACTGCAGAAAAAGCAAGTAAATAAAAAAGGAAAATGGCCTAAATGTCCAATCATGGTAATGATATAAAATATAGCACATGAACTATTTGGCCCTTATTTAAAACAACAAATTAAACATGGCTGACAGGGAAATGTGTTCACAATATGTTGAGTTTCAAAAAAACAAACCAGGTTGTATAAAACAGGTTGTTATTTTACAAAGTAAAGCAACAATTTCCATTGACATCTAAACTTGTAGACAGAAAAAAGCTTACGGGAATAAGAACCACAATGTTTGTAGTGATTATCTCTGGGTTAGCGAGTTACAGGTGGTTTTTCTGTTGCAGTGTTCTTTTTACAAATCAGTATTTCCTAATTATTCGACAATGAACATACATTTGATAGTCACGTACCATGCCGAGGATTCTGAACCTTATTCATAAGATGATCTAAATTAACATTTTGTAGATTAAATGATTGAAAGGCCCTAGGCCTTGAGCCAGTTAACCGGGTCTCTTTGGGTACTTCTGGCAGCATGAAGGCTCTCAGTAAGATGACAGGACCCAGACCCGTGTTTCTCCTGTAGATGCTGATTTCTAAGCATGGCTTTTCTGGTCGTTGTGACCACACGGCAGAAGGATGGAGTTTCCTGGAGTATCGAATTCAGGCTGGATGTTGTTTTTCTGGTTTTCTATGGGGACAGCAAATAGTTGAGCATCAGGTATTTCCTGGGGTCCCCTGGCTTGGCCATGACGCACGTCTGCTTTGTGAACTTTCCTTCCAGGAAAACCTGATTGGCGCCCTCTTGGCGATTTTTGGGCACCTCGTGGTCAGCATCGCACTTAACCTCCAGGTAAGTCTCCCTCACTGGCACCATCCACAGCAGGGACAGGGCAGGAGGTGGGTGTCTCATCCAGGTCCAGCTGCCTCCTCTGTGGGCCCTGCCTGCTCCGTCCTGGGCTGTGCCTGCTACAGTACCTGGTGGACTGATGCAGAGTCTCTCTGGATTCTGTGCCCCGCTCCCTCGCCCAGCTCAGGACCTCCCCTCCTCTTGGGCCTGGGCTGTGCAGTAGCCTCCTGCCTGGCCCCCTGGGTTCTGGTCTCATCCTTTCCTGTTCCCCTTGCTGCTGGGCTGCTGTGGTGCTGTCAAGTTCAGCTCTGATTACAGCACAGACCGGTGCTTACAGTCTCGGGGTGCCCTGCAGAGCCTCTGGCCCCTGTGTTCACAAGCAGCTGTGGTTTGGAGCAGGCTGGCAGCATGAGGGGCTCCCCTGAGGGCACAGAGCACTGCCCCCCTGGCGGAAGGTGCAGTGAGGGAAGAGGAAGCGTTAAGGCCCCTGGACAGTGGCCTGCAGCCCGTGGGGGATGGGCACCCATGGACAAGTCCCAGGCTCCTCTCCAATGGCAGGGTTTCTGGGGATTCCCGTGCACTGAGCCTCGGTGGTCCACGGGGCCCTTCTTCTCATTAATGTACCCCTCATTCATTCTCCATCCCTTCCTTTCCTGGCTTCTTGGGGTCACCTCCCAGGTACACCACCTGTCCCAGGTCTAAGTCCCTAAGCCCCGCCCACTTCCCTCCCCACCTCCCTCCCCCCTCCCTAGAGCAGGTGTGAAACTGTAGCCCTGTGTGCAGGTGTGGGGCTCGTACACCCATGCCTTGTGCACCTCTGCCATGCATGTGTGCACACGTCTGTGTGCATGTATACGCGCCTGTGCGTATGTTGTACGCGTGTGTGCGTGTGTCCAGGATTCCCAGTTAGCACACTTGTCCTCTAATTCCACATGACTCGTAGCCTTCCTCAGTTACCGCCTCGGTGTCTGTGCCCAGTTCACGTTTCCAGAAACACAGGAGCGCTGGCCATGCTTGAGCCATGGTCTGCCCAGGGGAGACAGAGCCCGCTGATACCCACGCGCTGCCCAGCAGAAGCTGCTGGCCCCTTCTACAGAAGGGAGCATGACCAGCGAGCATCCTATACGTGAGCACCCCCGGGAACTGCAGCCAGAGGGAGAAGGCCAGGCCACGGCAGGGACCTTGGACCTGGCTCCCGCCGCGATTGCCCTCTGCCTGTGGTGTGCGTTAGCAGTGCCCGTTCCCACTGCCCACTGCGGTGACCCTGGGGAGGAGCCCAGGCAGGTGTCCATCCAGGTTTCCAGGGAAGGTTCGGTGGTTCTCAGCCCCTCATCGTTGGGGACAACTGCCTTAGAGTGACGGGGGAGAGCTGGCGTGCAGCTGGCTGCGGCTCATCTTCTCTCAGTAAGGGCTCCCGGTGATTCTTAAAGGTGGGTGCAGACCTGGGAGACGTGCCTCGCGCATCTGGGCGAGTCTCGTTCTCTCTGGGTTCCAGAAGTACTGCCACATCCGCCTGGCGGGCACCAAGGACCCGCGCGCCTACTTCAAGACCAAGACATGGTGGCTGGGCCTCTTCCTCATGCTGCTGGGCGAGCTGGGCGTGTTCGCCTCCTACGCCTTCGCCCCGCTCTCGCTGATCGTGCCCCTCGGCGCCGTCTCCGTGATAGGTAAGACCCGTCCCGCCCTGCCCGGGGCCAGTGCCACCGCCAGGGTCAGAGCACTCAGCAAACAAGCGGCTCTTGCTGTGAGAGCAGCAGGCGTTGACAGAGGGCGGCGGCCTGGCCCTGGTGTGCCCACCCGCCAGCCTCCTGACCCTCCCACCAGCCGCCCCGGGAGATGCCTTTTCTCCCCATTTTACAGGGAGGCCAGAGGGATAGAGTTACTTCCCCAGCCCATGAGCCTCGGGCGCCAGAACCTGTTCAGGAAGTTTGTCAGGATGGCTTTTTATTTCCACAGCAAGAGGAAGATGAACCCTCACCCACGTGTTTGCACCATCAAGATAAATCGCCTTTCTGGGGTTCAGATAACCTGCACCTCTAGAAGTGCACTCGGGATCTTTTTGCAGCAACCGATTTCTTTTTTGTTGTTGTTGTTGGGGGCGGGGTATCAGGGATGGAACTCAAGGACACTCGACCACTGAGCCACATCTCCAGCCCTATTTTGTATTTTATTTAGAGACAGGATCTCACTGAGTTGCTTAGGGCCTCGCTTTTGCTGAGGCTGGCTTTGAACTCACGATCGTCTTGCCTTAGCCTCCTGAGCCTCTGAGATTACAGGAGTGTGCCACCGTGCCTGACCTGAGTCCCCTTTAATAACTACATTTACTTCCACATCTGGCATTTTCCCCAGACCAGCAACTCGGAGGATCAATGAAAGACAAAGGATCCCAATGTCCTGAGGTCACAAATGAAATAGAATCAGAAAAAAATTCTCAAAGTAATGATGTCAGTAGCTTCACAAACACTTTGCTCTCCTTGACCCCGTTTTAAGGCCTTGTCCCTGTCTGGGGGGTCTGGTGAGCAGGTCCTCGGGCCTGCTGCTGCCCGTACAGCGTTGCTCTGTGGTGTCGTCTGAATACCCCTCATAAGGCAAGCGTGTGGCACACCTCAACCTTTCTCTGTTGACTTCTGACCATTTTCTGCCCAGCCCCTGTACTTATTTAGATTTATGCCCTTATCTCTCTCTCCTGCCCATTGCAGAGAGAGATGAGTGACTGAGTAACTAGCACTTTAACTGTTAGTCTTTAAACTTTAATAAATATGAAATATTCTTAAAAATAAAGGCCTGAATTATGATGAGATTTCAGGTGTCAGCCATGAGACCTAAGGGACTCTTAGAGCTTCTGAGGTTACCCAGGAAAAAATAATACTAAAAATAATAACATGCCTATAATTCCAGCAACTCAGGAGGCTGAGGCAGGAGGATCACAAGTTCAAGGCCAGCCTCAGCAACTTAGGCCCTGAGCAACTTAGTGAGACCCTGTCTTTAAATAAAATAAAAAGGGCTGGGGATGTGTCTCAGTGGCAAAGTGCCCCTGGGTTCAATCTCTGGTACTGCAAATAATAATCACAACAACGACAGCGACTACCATTCATTGGGTACCTCTGGCTTATCCATCACTGCTCTAGGTACTTTAATGATAATAGTTTAGTTATAAAGCATTTGCTATGTACCAAAGTGATTTAAATTAAATATTTAATTTAAATATTACCTTATTTAACTGCCCCTATAACTCAAGAGAAGTAGTTTTGTTTTCAGTGGAATGTGGATAAACTGACTCACAGACAGAAAGAGACGGAGACAGGAGAAAAGAAAGGGAGGTGGACAGGGAGAAAAGCAGCAGCTGGTCCACGGGGCTGCTGATCACAGAGCAAGGGTGGTCAGTCCGCTGTGGCTCCCTTCAAGCTACTGATGGTCAGCACCCAGCAAGGGGCAGCTGGATCCAGCAGCACATCTCCTAGACTGAGAGCTGGGAATCGCCTCGGGAGAGTGAGCCAGGTCCATTCACAGTGACCGCTGGCCCTGTCCTAGCATCTGCAGACATGGAAGAGTCGAGGAGAGGAAAGGACAGGGGGAGCCACCAAGGTGGACGTTGTGATGGGGAAGCCAGAGCCTGGCCCACATCACGAGCCACATGATCTTGGGTGGGTCCTTCACCCCGTCCAGCCTCAGTGTCCCTGCGTGTCTGATAGAGCCAACGACAGCACCCGCCTCTAGCGAGGGGCCTCCACCGTGGCTCCTGGGCGTTGTCTGGCTCCTGGGGACCCTGGGAGACTCGGAGGGGCTCCTTCCTGAGGTGGAGGAACAGGGACAGAGGGGACTAGGCTCCTGGGAGTGAGAGGTCAGGAAGTAACAAGCTCCCCTGGAACGAGCCAGCCCCGAGGGCACAGGCAAAGGGACGTCCTCTGAGTGACAGCAGCCTCACTTCTCTCTTCTGTCCTCTCCTTCCAGCTAGCGCCATCATAGGAATCATATTCATCAAAGAAAAATGGAAACCTAGAGACTTTCTGAGTAAGTCCATCCCTCGATCCCCGTCCTGCGTTTTATGCTTGTGTCTTTTATTCAAGATAAAACTAGCTCACCCCAATTAAGAGACTGCCTACCGCCTATCCCTGTCTGTGATTCTGTACTGTCCTCAGCACCCCCTGAGCTGGGTGTTTTGATCACTGGTTCCCAGGCCAGGCTACACACCAGAATCGTCTGTGAGACTTTTGAAAATGGGCCTTCATTCACTCCATCCGGTCTGCATTTATTGAGCATCTATTACTGGGAGCTTTGAGGCCTAGGAAAAGGCGCACTGAGTTCCAGAGCAATAGGGTCAAACCCAGGAGGCCGGATGTTCTCTCTGTTACCAATAAAGGCGGGATTGGAGCCTGCAGCTTAGGTATGCAGCCCCAAGAACTTATTCACAGCTCCCACAATGTGCCTCAGCTCCCAGTTAGCCCTGAGACCAATATCTAAACCCCTAGGTTTAAACTTTTAAGAATAGGTCAGCTCCACCCAGTGGAAAACATGGACCAACAGTATTACAAGTTACTTTCACAGAGGTCCCTCCACACGGAAACCTGAGGAGCGGGGAAGAAGTGTTCCCCCCAATAACCAAGTACCATGCTGTGTTGTAGGTGCTGGGGATATAGCAGACGGGGTTCCTGCTCCCACAGAGATGCTAGTCTCTTGGTGTGAATGTGTGTTGGGGATACAATAAACAAGCAAACAACCAAATCAGATCATGTTAGATCACAGAGAGTACTTCAGAAAAAAACAGCAGAGCCAGGCATGGAGGCATGTGCTTGTAATCCCAGCAGCTCTGGGGGCTGAGGCAGGAGGATTGCAGGTTTGAAGCCAGCCTCAGCCATTTAGCAAGGCTGTAAGCAACAAAATGAGACTCTGTCTCAAAATAAAAAGTAATCGAAAGGGCTGGGGTGTGGTTCAGTGGTTTAACACCCGTGGGTTCAGTCCCTGGTATCAAAAAGAAAAGAAAAAGAAAAAGAAAGAATGGGCATTAAGGAAGATAATTTATTTTTAAAAGAAAACCCCCAAATACAAACAGGTCTCAGGTACTTCAAGGAAAACCTGACCTTGTGTTACTGAGGCACCCCCTGCTCTGGGCCTGTGCCCACAGAGGCCACTGACACCCCTCCCTCCCTGCAGGGCGCTATGTCTTGTCCTTCGTGGGCTGCGGCTTGGCTATCGTGGGCACCTACCTGCTGGTGACCTTCGCCCCCAACAGCCACGAGAAGATGACGGGAGAGAACATCACCAGGCACCTCGTGAGCTGGCCTTTCCTCCTGTACACGGTAAGAGAAGGCTCCGGGCCTCACCTGAGATGGCAGGAGGGGATCGGGTCCAGGAAGCAGAAACCTCCGTACCCAGCAGTAGGGGATTCCAGGAATCACAGCACGTCTCATGGTCTCTGAGGCCAGGCTGGTGGGAGTCGCAGTTCACAGGAGTGTGGATGCCACTCGTCCTCAGTGACAACTAGAGCTGCACGTGGCATGATGCCAGCCTCACATTTCTGGGGCTGTTCAGGTTGGTCCATAGACTGTATCTGTGGAAACCACATGAAAAAAACAAATTCCAGGGAGTCGTCTCTGAGATGGAATTTTGACTCATTTTCATTTATTCTTCATCTTTCATCCAGAATTTTACAGTGACCACTGAAAATCTTTGTGACAAGTTAAAATCCTAAAAGGTTTAAGCACATTATTTCCCCGGTGCCACCCAGCTGTTGGCAGCTGATGGAAGGCCAGGAGGGGCAGCCGGGGCTCCGTGAGGTGAGCTGGTGTGCTCGGGGTCCGCGTCCCTTCCGTGGCAGCAGAGCTGGGTATGAAGGCCAGGCCATCTGGCCTCACCTGCCACCTGCTCCCCTAGGGCCAGCTGCCTGGCGTTCACTGTCTTCCTCTGATCTGAGCAGCCGGGACCCTGACTGGGCCTCGAGTTCCCTGGAATATCCTTTTCCTCTGAGAGGCCACAGGAAGAGGATGGATTCCCCTGACCATCTCCCTACCGCCAGCCAGGTCCGAAGTTCCCTAGTGGGCATGGAGAAGTGTGCACAGGACAGAGCCAAGGTCCTGCCCCTCCCAAGAAGCCTTGGCCCAAGCAGCCCTTTCACTTAGGGAGTCTTGAGCACAAATCCCTCATGTGCTGTGTGGCCTTGGGCAAGTCAGTTTCTCTCTCTGTTTTCTTCTCTGTGAAGTGGCAAGAATCACTGGACTTGGGATTGTGGTTGGAGCTACATGAGGAGACGTGTAGGTCACCCAGCACCAGGTAGATGCCCAGAGTCAGTTTGTCTCACTCTGTCATCACTGTGAGGCAGCGCTTCCAGCCAGAGACTTGGCCAGACCAGATTAATAACTATTTACTGCATGCTTCCTGTGAGCCAGACATGGAGGGTTAAGAAATCAGTGAGATTCTGATTTCCCCGTTCTGCCATTGGCTTACTTGGGACTGTGACCACATCCGCTTCATAGAATTGTTATGCTGATGAGTGTGACAGTCCTCACAGGACTCAGGGCCTCTCAGGAGACGCCAGCACCCGGGCAGCCACCTGGGGACTTAGCGCCAAGGGCTGTTGGAGCACTCATTGAAGCGTGAAGAACCATCGGGAAGATTGGGACCCCACCCCAGCCCACCCCTGCTGAACACAGGCACGACCTGGGGCTGTTGGTGGTGACCCCCACATCTGCCTGGTGGGGTGTCCCTAGCAACGGAAGATGATTATGATGGCCTCGTGCAAATGAGATTGTTAATGTAACCAGAATCCTCCCAACAGGAGGTCACACCCTGACTGTGGCAATGACAAAATACCATACATAGTTACTGGAACCAAGGCCGGGGAGAAGCAGGGGACGCGGGAACTGAAAGAATGAACAAGGCTCGTCGTGGGAGAAAATGCCCGTTTATTGAGGAACAGCTCTGCATCTTTATAGAGCCCGGGTGGTTTGATGGTTATGACAATTTAATGGTTGAAAGGTTTGACAGTTGGCTGGGGTGCTTTCTGATTGGTGGGTAAGGATCATGTGAGCCAGCAGGGCTAGTCTGAT